GGGCGGGTTGTTTGTTAAGGCACCATACCAGTCCACGTGTTTTTTTGTGTATTTACTTGTTATGGATATTCATTTTACAACGCTTCGCGCTTTGTTTTTCATCTTTACTAAGGCGCTCCGACGAAGAGCAGAATTATCATTCTCAGCAATGTCGTTTCGATTTATGACTTATATTTACTGTGTAAGTGTAGCTGTCGTTTGTAGTGATAATGAAAGCGGTCAGAAGCGGCAGAAAGGCTAGATGCGATAAGAACTTTTCCAAGGGGGGCAAGCGCAAGAAAAGTACGCGGGTGGCACCTCCCTGCACTATCTACAGAGCGGTAGTAAAATTTACAACATCCTAACAAGGAGGGGCTGCACAACACAACAATAGCAACTGACGACAACGAACGAGCAGCGCCATCCGACTCTGTTTTCGACAGGGACCACGACTAAGCGATACCCTGTTTTTTTTTTTCTCTCTTTCCCTTGCCCGTTTCGTCCCTCACATTATGAACTTCCCCGGAAGCGGCCTTGGGGGCGGCGCGGGCGCGGGCTCTCCGGGCATTGACCCCAACGACCCGAATATGAAGCGGATGCAGGCCGTGATGGACTCGTGTTTTGCCAAGACGGCCTTGTCGGGCGTGGCCGGGTTTGCCCTTGGTGGAATTTTCGGCCTGTTTATGGCATCGGTCGGTCCACTGTCCCTTGCGACTGTGTCTCGTGACTGCGACTGACATTACGGTTTGTAGATGGCCTACGACACGCCGTACCACACGCCGGTACCGACAAACACACCAGCGGCGAACGCGGCAGCAGCAGGTGGCAAGGCGGCAGCGTCATTAGCAACGACGTCCACGACTGGGGCCGCCGGCACAGCGGCAAAGACGGTCATTGGCGCGGGCGCCGCAGCACCGACGACTGTCACGACGGCAGCCACCAATGCGGCAACAACGTCGACAGTCGCCTCGACATCAGCAGCGGCAGCAACCTCCACATCCTCCTCCACATCGTCCTTGAAACCAGCAACACTCGCCACGTCGGCACCAAAACCGGCCGTCAGCATTCCTGTGTCCGGCGCCGCCGCCGCCTACGTAGAGCCGCCGTCCATCCCGCTGCGCCAGCAGCTCGCCACGGGTTTCCGCGACATGGGCAGCCGTAGTTATTCCAGTGCGCGGAACTTTGGTACCGTCGGTGCCCTCTTTGCCGGCATCGAGTGCGGCATCGAGGGCCTGCGGGCCAAGAACGACATGGGCAACGGCGTGGCAGCCGGCTGCCTGACCGGTGCGATTTTGGCGCGAAACGCCGGCCCGCAGGCGGCGGCGATTGGCTGTGCGGGTTTTGCGGCTTTTTCGGCGGCGATCGACGCGTACCTGCGCATGCCACCGAGTGACGATTAAAAAGAAAAAGAAACAGAAAAGGAAAAGAGAAACAAAGAATGAAATGTTAGGAGTCTGCTCCAGCCTGTCCTTTATTGATTTTTTATTTGGTTAGAGGCGTTGGTCGCATATAGACACGGATGGGGCACACTCTCTTCTCTCGGGAAATCGCAAAACTTGGGCCTGCAGATGGGAAATGGCACAAGGCTTTGGGAAGACATATCTGAGAATATGTATTGAAATCTTCCTTGTACTTGTTGTACGATTTTACGGATAGAACATCTCTTCCCGCTGCTTTGTCCTTGTATATATATATTTGTCTTTAACGCACAATCATTTCGATTCTGTCTCATTTGTCAAACGAATACATGAAGAGGAGAAATTTTGTGAAAGCAGCATGCAAATATATTAAACGCTCGTTGTATACACCAAATTTCATACGCAAGAGGGGAAATAAAACACTGCAGACGACACGAACAAAATAAAATAAATACAAGTAAAGCAAATTTATGCTTTTTCATCACCGTGTGCCCTCCTTACGACGTCTGATAAATCTGGAACTTGCCAAATTCCCAGAACGCATTCTCAAAGGCCGTTGGGTTGTTCGCCACATAGTCTGTGCAGTTTGTCGGTGACGAGCCGCCAATGCACTTGTGGCTGCCCACGCAGTTCATGGGGCAGCTCGACGTTGGGTACTTGGCCTCGCCCAGCGAGCCGCAGAGGTCAATGTTGGCAATGATGCTGGCGTTGGTAAAGTGTGAGCCAATGTCGCACTTCGTGTTGGGGAAGTCGGCCAGCGCCGTGCCCCACGCGCTGGGGTTCGGGTTGCCGGCAGTAATGTCCGAGGGTACCGACCCGGACGTGAACTGCCACATGCGGATGCCCGCGTCGCGCCACTCCACCGCCACCGTGCCGCCGCCGTCCGAGTTGTACGTCGTGCCAAACGTCGCGGCGCTGCCGTCGACGCCGCAGCCCGCGTTGTTGTTGGTGCCGTTGTAGCAGTCGGTCTGTGCGGCAGTGCCGGACATGAGGCGCTTGACCGACTCCATGGTGCAGTCGTTTGTGGTGTGAAGGGTCATCATATTGCCCGTCGTCGCCAGGTTGACCGCCTCCATGATGTCGATCTCGCCATGCGCGGGCCAGATGTTGTTGTTGGGGTCTGTCAGCCACAGCGCCGGCCACGTGCCGCAGCCGTACGGCGTGTGCTTGACCTCAAAAATAAAGAGGCCGTTGTTGTACTGGTTCTTGGACTCGAGGCGGACGGAGAAGCGGCCGGTCGAGGCATCGGGCGTCGAGCCAGGCCCGACGGACGTATCAACCTTGACGACGGCCGAAGAGCTCGAAGCGGACGTAAGGTTCTAAAGGAAAAGAACAAGCATGTCAGCAAAGGCATATCGCATCTCGTGATAGGACCTACGAAGGAATCTGTGACGGGGTGCGGCACGGCTCGAAACGTACCAACGACGTCGCTGTCTCCCTGGGGACATAATGGACAAAGCCTGAGGCCGGGTCGTAGCCCGTGAAGTAGTTGAAGTTGTCAAAGAAGGACTCGCCCGAGAACGTCTCCTTGAGGGTGTAGTTGACCTGGCTGTAGTCGGGATACCTGTTGGCGTTGGCATTGTTGCGCGTAACAACAACGGCCACCACAATCACAATCACAACGATGGCCGTGATACTGCCTATGACGAGTGCCCAGACCTTCTTGGTCCAGGCGGACGGTTTCCACCACGGGGCCGTGTACTGCTCGTAGTACCTGCGACCCATTTTGGTGAGGAGTTGATGGATGCGAAGACGACGAAACGAGGGATGTCGAGATGACGAGGAACGGAGGCGTATAAGTGAAAAGAGACTTGGGAAGGGAAAGCGAGCGCAAAGTAGCGAGCGACCAAGGGTGTTCAACGAGTGAAACTAACAGAATAAAAAACAAGACATCAAAGTTAAGACCGTCGTTCAGCAGAGGAAAAGAAGACGGGACGCTAGACAAAGGCAGTGCCCAATCACGAAAAGCCGATGGAAAGAAACAACTAAATACTCGTAAGTACCGTGTATGTCATACGACGACTCAGATTCGCAGGTAGAAAAGGACGCGCCCTCGGCCCCGTTTATGATATGCGATGCGCAACAGGAGAAGAAATGGGTCCTTGACCAAGATATGAAGAAAGGGAGACGGAAAGAGAGGGCATCCCACCATCGGAAAAAGATACAAGAAACAAGTAACAACAGCCCTCCTGCCCACAATAATTGACGAACGGCAGGGGCGAGCCTACATAGTACGCAAAGTCCCGCTTCGGTCTTTCCTGCTTCGTGTCACTGCTACAATAATCCACCGTCGTTATCGTTAAGAAGGACCGACGGCGTGGCGGAGGGAAGGCTCGACAAAGGGATGAGAGAAGAGACGAAGACCCTTCCTTCCCATTTGGGTGTGAGCCGCGTACGCAATACAAGTGGGCCCCAAGTCAGAAATGTGATAGGGAACTGCCTGACAGTGACTTGGCCTCACTCACCGACCACTAAGACAACAAAAGACGCAGCGCAAAAGCGACGTGCAGAAAGGGAGAAGGATGTCCAAAAATAGGACGATGGTCGATGGCATGTGTTGGCGCAGAAAGGGGAGTGAAAAAGTGACTGAAAAAAAAGGTACGGAGAAGCCAAAGCCAGTAAACAAAACCAGCAGGAAAGGCAGGGGCGACCCAAAACTTTCTAATACGACGTATGTGACGCGCCCAACACCCACGTTTCGACAGAAAAGGGGAAGGCGCGGCCGTCATTGCGCACACTAGGGGATCAAGCGCTGGTGAGTGGACACTTTGAGAACAACCAAAAGGCTTAGCTCTGTCGAACAATGCATCCGTGGTTGCCGTCCCAGGAACAGGAAGGAACAAAAACGGGCACTTTCCCGACTACTGGTGTGGCCACCAAGGAAAGAGGCCGTTCCGGGCAATTGATCCATTTTTCGATGCAGGAGCGTCAGGCAGGGCATTCTGACACCGAACCTGGTTTCCTGTGGCTGTCGGTTTGAGCTCCATATGTCGTACCCTTGTCGAAAATCCAGGGACCATGTAAGGCAACTACGAATGGGCGTCTTCGATTAAATATCTTGACTGTTCACGGTCGATTTCATCGTGACAGCCCAAGAAACGCGACTTCGCGGCAGCGTATAACTATGTCATTGCAAAGGAACAACAGCTCGTAGGACCGCAAAGCATCTTTTCTGCCAAGCCAATCCATCCGTCGCAATGTATGCCGCAAAGGTAGAAAGTATTCCACATGCCCGCGATATTACATGGCAGCCAGTCGCTCCTTCCCACAAGCACCCGCCGTCCACTTCGGCTTGCTCAACGCTTTTTCCCCTTTCGGGTTGTCACCTTTTTTTTTTTTTCGTCTCTCCCTCCTCCACGTCCGATCATTGCCCCCTATCGACCTTCACGATGCCTCTTCTGGGGTCCATCCGCCCATGGGAGCCGCCAAAAGGCTAGCTGGCCTCCACTTTCGGGTATAGCGGCAGTCAAAGTTTTGGCTAACACGATAAAATACGACGTAAAGGACGAAGAAGGTTGCTTCTCCACGACTCAAAAGAAACCCACGAGAAAGCAAACGACACGCCAGTGACTCGAGTCGAAACCTGTCCTGACCTTCAGACTCATGGACGGTGAGGGTCTGTCTTTGGACAAGCTTGCCAAGGGCCAATGCTACCATGGCTGGCACAGAAAGTCAGTCTCACGGCTCACACCCCGAAGAGCCGATTCGGCCGTTGGAAGAGCGAATCGACCTCGCAAAGCAGTCCATTCTGGGACAAGACCGGTCTCTGACGAAGCCGGCCTTTTGTGGCATTTTGTGAACGACGAGCAACTTATCGGAAAGGTTTCGGCGCCACCTGTGCACGATGGCCTGCCGTTCCTCCACACTTTTATTATCTCCAAGATCGTGCATGGCAAAACGCCACGATCTTTTCCAATTCCGCCGGCTGTTGATTGCTTGGCGCTTCTTGACCGACGTCCTTTGGTGGGGAGCAGACCAGGCAACGACTGCAACGTCGAATCTTGGGTTCTCACTGCACCCTGTTAACTGCTGAAGTGTATTCATATTTGGTGCCGTGACGTGGTGCATGACACTACGGGCCAGAATACGAGAATGATAAGATTTGACTCGCCTGAGGATTGCTGCGAAATTACAGATCGTGGCTGGGGACAGCCTTTACAAAATTCATCACCCCATACTGTCGCACGGTTTGCCAACGGCACTTCGACATTCGAAGTACGTCGTGCTTCATGATCTAGAAAGAGCCCGTCTTTCACTCCATCAGGCCGCTCCTGACCCGAATTGCTCAGCCATACGGCTATTTGCGAAGCGATATGTGCATGAACCAACAGTTGCTAACAGCAGCCTCAATAACAGGCTAAGAATTCACACAATTGTTCACCAGAGACTAGTACATGGCTCATCACCGAATCCAAATGTACACGAAACAATGCTCGGCTTTAATCCACGTATGCCGTTTGTCTAGAATGCAATGCTATCCAGCCAAAATCAACCCAAAATGTGTGCCAAAAAGCACCATGCCACTGCCCCTTGTCGGCCCGGTCTCGCTTAGTCGTCATCCTCCACACGCGCCCGTTTGGACTGGCGTGCTGAAGGGCCACCGTCAGCCTGTAATCCGTAGCCGCGCTTGCTCCCGCCCGCTGACGCGCCGCCCTGGCCCTGTCCCTGTTCCACCTCGGACAGAAACTTGTCCACATTAAACGGGTCTGCAGCCGCACTGCTACCGGCAGGGCCGCTGCCCGACACGCCCAGCCCCGTCGTCTCCTTTTCAAACTGCACGGGACCTTCACGCGCCTCGACGTCGCGCGCGCCTTTGAACGTGCCCCGACCCAGCGCCTCGCCGAATCGGCTCGTCTTTTGAATCTTGGCCATCTCAGCGTCGCCCGCCGCCGGGTCGTCGAAGTCGTCGTCACCGCCTGCGCCGCCGGGCCCGCCACGCGACCGGTAGATGCTGCTGATCGCGTCCTGCGCTGCAAACAGCGGCTTGTCGTATGGGTTGTCTTCGTTGAAGCCGCTGTCGAAGCCGCTCGTTTGGTTGAACAGCCGCGAGTCGTACATGCCCTCGGCCGACGCCGTGGGCTTCGCCAGGCCCAGCGCCACCTTTTCGGAAATGTCCCGGTTCTGCTCACGCGCCAGCACCTGCATGCGGCGCTCCGCACCCATGCGTGACTGTCGCAGCTTGCGCTCTTCCTCGCGCCGCTTCTCGCGCCGCGCTTCTTCTCGTGCACGCACGGCACGGTCCTCCTCCTCTTCGCTGCCGCCGCGACTGCGACTGCGCCTGCGACTGTCGTACGACCGCGACCGCGACCGCGAATCGCTGTAGCTGCTGCGGCTGCCCGACGACGACCGCGACCGTTCCCTTCCGCGCCCTGGCCGCCGTGAAGATGAGGGACCTGCGGCGGCTGCGCGCTCAGCACGTGCCTGCTGTGCCAGCTCGCGCAGGTGCTCTTCCTTTTGCAGCTTCTCCTTCTCGGCCAGACGCTGCTGCATTTGTGCGCGCTGGCGCACCTCTTCGCGTGCGTGTCGGTCCGCCATGAATAGTGCCTCGGAAAACTGTGCAAACTTGTCATTGATCGTGACGTCCTCGAGGCCCTTGCCAGCAGCTGCTAGGCGCTTATCGAGAGGAACCGTGTAGCCCTTGGGGTTCTTCCAGTTGGAAATGGGTGCTGAAACAGAAAACAAAAGAATTAGCGAGTGGGCAGAATTGGGGGGATGATCAACAACACAAGAGCGGGGGCAAATACGTACGTGGAATCTTCCATGCTTCCTGGTCTGCCGCCGTCAGTTTGCGCGGCGGGCTATGCATGACGGGTGGTGGAGGGCTGGGGGCTGTAAACGATGTTAGCAGATAGATACTAGACAGGACGAAACCGCTGCGGGACAATGGGAGAGGAAACATACGTCCGCGAGGGATCTTCTTGTGTTTGAACTTGGGCGGCTCGAGCGGATCCCGCTGCCGCTCGACAATCTTCATCACGCGGTCCTGTTTCGTGCTGCTGTCGCCAAACTGCGACGCCGGCGTGTACCGCACGTAGGTTGCCTCCTTGCGCTGGCCGCCCATGTGCGCCAGCGTCTTGGGCTTCTGTGCGGCCACCGCGCCGCTCACCAGCAGCGCCAGCGCGTTCTTGGTCCGCTCCGTCGTCTCGGCCACCGACTCCTGGTCCGGGCGGTCCAGGTTCAGGTCGCCCGCCTCGGCGCGCTGCCGCAGCGGAATCAGGTCCTTGAACGACGTGTGGATCACGCGGCCGTCTGCGTGGCCCAGCCGTGCAATCGCGTCGTACTTGACTTTGCCCTCGCCGTCCACCTGCACGGCCAGCGCGTTGCTCTTGGTCTTGGCGGCGGAGGCGCCCGGCCGGCCCATGTCGAGCGGGTACTGGGCGAACGGAATTTCTGGAAACGCGCCGCCGTCGCCAAAGTCTTCAGGCGCCCGTGGCCGCCAGCCCTGTCGTTGGCCATACGGCGGTGCCGTTGTTCGCTGTTGGTTGTTGGTTAGCGAGAAACTGGTCCCATGGTTCGCCGTCTGTGCCTCTCCATGCCGTCCGTGTGCTCACCTTCAGAACCACCTGTGTCTCGTCCAGGTCCGCCGCGCTCACGATACGCGGCCCTCGCTGTGCCCGCACCGGAGCCTCTTCGTCTTCGCCCGTGTACTTGGGCTTGGGCAGCGACTGCGCCAGTGACGACGCAATCGAAGCCATGTTAGCGGTCCGTAGGGAGTGTCGGTGTCGTCCCGTATGTCGTCAACGCGCTTCCCTTCTTTGGGAGAGCGCGATGTGGTCGGCCGGATCTGGCCGCACCGTTGTTGTGGAAGAATATATAATGCTATTCGAGCGAACGTATGAGTGCGGACGACGATGGCAGATGTAGGCGACGAGGACGTATGTCGCTGTTGCAGCAAGTTGAAGATGGCAGAGGTGGTGGATGTTGCCTGCACAGTAAAGTCTACGCGGTTCGAGATTGGTATTTTTTTGTGGGGCCTACTAGCCATTTGTACTGTGTTTATAGTCACAAGAACACTGTAATCAACACTGTGTCATGAACTTGCATTCCCACTGTACCCTATGGCTTGAAAGATGCCACATTCATGTCATGGATGAAACCTTTTGCTACTTTCGACTATCATCTACGAACTCCACGACATGACGGCACCACAACAATTTGCATGTCCTACGAAACATATGTCACAATTTCCGGCTATGGTCACGTGACAAGATGTCGATGTGTTGACTTGCAAGATGCAACGATGAACATTCATTACGTGGCTGTATTAAAAAAGCATGCTCTCTGCGTCGACGCCTTCTAAGTTTGTTCCTCACTTGGTGGCAATGCCATCTCTCGTGGTATTTGTACACACTGTAATACCAGCAAATGCGCTCTCCGTCCTATGTTCCTCGCGTCGGAAAGTTCCATCTCTTTATCGTTATTTGTTTTGATACCGTACGCCAGTCGTTTTTGCATCGCGCCCATCGAGACAAAAGGGAAACAATAAAACACAAGGTGGAAGAAGATGTAAAGTGCTCTTATCGTACAGCGTGCGAGAGCGTGATGGCCGTTATCGCTCAAACGTAGCCCTTGCGTGCGCCCTGGAAGAAGAAGCGCACGACAAAGACCTGCAGGGCACCCATGCAGACAATCAGGCCCGACTGGATGAAGCTAAAGTTGATAATCCGCTTCTCGGTGCTGCGGACGGTGCTGAAGTTGCGGTTCTCGCGGGTGCGGAAGTACTTTTGGTTGCGCGTAATCGTCGACAGCTGGCCGGAGATCTTGAAAGCGGACTCGGACAGCGCGCTCGTCTGCTCGTTGGAGCTGCCCTGCCTGGACGGGAGTGCCACGCGGGCCTCGTTCTCGACCTGGGAAAGGAAAGGGGGGAAGCATTAGCTGTGTGCGACGGAGATGGGGCATGTGGGTGCAGAGTCTTGAGCTTCCGCTAGACTTACCGAAATCTCAAAGTCGACGTACTTGTCGGTGTACGTGCTCATCTCATTGTTGAAGCAGAACTGATGCTCGCCAATCTCGTTGGCCGTAAAGACAAAGTCGCCCTGGCGCTCGTTGAGGCCCTCAAGCAGAATCTTGCCGTTGGGGTCGACGACCTCGTAGTTGACGTCGAACGAACCGCCCGATTGGACCTATTGTTGTCAGCACAGCGCCCACCATCTCCGTGCCGTCTCCACATGCCAACCTACCGCAAAGTAAAAGGCAATCTTCTCGCCCTTGGTCGGGGCCTGCGCGTAGAAGCACGCCTTCTCACCAGCTGCCAGCTTGTAGGTCAGGGCCGTCGCCGTGACGTCCGTCGCAAACCAGGCCGCGAGGCCGGTCAGCATTGTGGAAACCCGCATCGTCTGTGTCTTTTGTCTGGTGTCGTCGTCCGGAGAGGGGACGGTGGAGGAGGATGGCCGTGTGCGGGACGTGAGACGTTTTGTTGAATGTGAAAATGTCCAAACGGGACGATGCTGCAAAAAGGGGATTTTGCTGTGATGGCCCACAACGCGGCGCGAGCAATTGAAAAGGGATTGCTTCAGGACACGCTGGACACGCTGCTGTCCACCCCCTGGCTCGAATGGCTACAGAGTTAAATGGGCTAGTATTAGCGGCGAAGTAAGGCCCTGTAATACGACCGTACAGCTTCCAGTTTTAGCGGATTTTCAATTTCCCAGCACCGAGTAAACTCGTTCAGGGGGGAGGAGCGACAAACTGGCCAGGCTCAAAAGAGAAGTGGGTCCGCATTTGACGCTACAGAAGGGAAGCTAACGACTTGAGTTTGGAGGACAGCTCCTTACACACTCGTCGATCTGCTCAGCCAATGGGCTAATGGGGGAAGGCGCGACACAACACGACCGCCGAAAGCTTGACGACATTGGCCTAGAGCAGGGTTTCAAGAAGCTCCACTGGCCACTACCACCAATGCAATGATATCATTAATTAAGCTCCGGCAACTGGCCCATCCCCCCACAGGCGTCCCAGCGCGTTGCTCCTTCCCGTCCTGCCCATGTCAAAGAACAACCGTTCGACCTTCCGTATTCGTCTGCTGTCAAATCTCGCAACTCACAATTTATTTTTGAGCTTCTTCAACCTTTACAAAACATCACCAGCAACAGATTTTAGGCCAAACTGCACATGTTTTGCCGCCTTCTAGCTTCCAGCGTTGTTGCATTGTCGTTTAACACGGCTGCCCACCACTGCGGATGCTCAACAACCTGACCAGTGTTTGATGCCCAGCGCAACGCTATCACTCGGACTGTTTTGATTGCTTCGCCTGGCAAACGTTGACGACAGCAAGCCGCATCCATATACAGAGAAACGCCCACAAAGCGATCGAAAGCAGCTACATTCGTCGAGCAAGTCGTTCGCTGCGCCGTGCTCTACTCGCATCGGGCCACCACCTAGATCCACAACGGTCGCGACACACAGAAGCTGGCACCATGGCGGTCCAGACCAAGATTACGACGGCGACGTCGGTTCTGATCCGTTTCTTGTCGTACATTTTCTTGCGATGGGCTCTCATTCCTGTATGTTGAGTCTGTTGGTTGTTCTTGTATTCTTGTCGTCCATCGATGGTTCACCGCTAACACTGCCTAGATCATTCCCCATCTTGTGTTTGCTCTCATAGCAATCTACATCCCGTCATTCGTTTTGAGCTACCTGGCGCAGCCGCAGGCTGAGATTATTAAGGAGATGCAAGTCTTGTTGGCCGAAAAGGCCGTTGTGGACGACGACAACAACGAAGAACGAATCGAAGAGGAGGTTGTTGATATCACCAGCTCCACGTCCATCCAGCCAAGGCCCCTCAACGGTCTACGCACCCTGCTCCTGGGTGTCCCGAGCCCCAGCAAGCTTTTGTCCTTCCTGGCCGTCCTCACCAACACCATCCTCGTGGCTCTGGTAGCCGACCGCCTGTACTCGGAGCACGCCATCACGGCCGACGACCTTTCGTTTGTGCGCCTCGGCTACGTCTCCGACACCGAGGCCAAGTTCTTAATCCGCGAGCCGGATCAGGCGAAAATGCCCGTCTCCATCGACCTCCGCATGCGCGACGCGCAGCCGCCGTTTGACAATCCCCTGTGGCAGACCGCCGGCGGCGCGCGGTGGACGGACAACAGCACCGACTACACGGTCGTGGTGAACGTCAAGATCCCGCACCCGGGGCAGCGCGTGTATGAGTGGCGGACCTCTAACAACCACTCGGGCGAGTTCGTGTCGGGACCCAAGGCGGGCGTCGCGCCCGCTCTGCACGACGGCAACTTCACGTTTGTGGCGACGTCGTGCATGATCTCGCGCGTGCCGTACACGCCGCTGGACCACCCACTGGCGATCCCTGGCACGCGGCACCTGGCACGCGTGCTGCCTTCACTGGGTGCACAGTTCATGCTGTTTCTGGGTGACTTTGTCTATGTCGATACGCCGCGCTGGTGGGGCAAGTCGGTCAGCGACTACCGCCAAAAGTACCGCCAGGTGTATGCGTCGCCGGACTGGAACCCGATTGCGCAGAACCTCAGCTGGATCCATGTGCTCGACGACCACGAGATCGCTAACGACTGGGACAAGCGGGAGACGGGTATCTACCACGCCGCTGTGGACCCCTATCACCACTACCACACGGCGGCGAACCCGCCGCTGGCCCGCCAGGCAGGTGCCGGGGGTCTGCTGCGCGGCGCGCGGGCGGGTGCCACGTACTTTGAGTTCTCGCAGGGCCCGGCCAGCTTCTTCATGCTGGACACACGCTCGTACCGATCGAGCAATTCGATGCCCTTTGACAGCGCAAACAAGACGATGCTGGGTGCAGACCAGCTGGCCGATTTCCTGGCGTTTCTGCGGCGGCCCGAGCCGCGCGGCATTAAGTGGAAGATTGTGGCGTCGTCGGTGCCGTTTACCAAGAACTGGCGCATTAACACGCGCGACACGTGGGGCGGATTCCTGGTCGAGCGCCAAATCATTCTGGAGGCCATGTGGGATGCCGGCTTGCAGGGCGTGGGCGTCGTGATTCTGTCGGGCGACCGGCACGAGTTTGCGGCAACGCAATTCCCGCCGCCGGCGCCCAACGCATCGGACCCGGCTGCACCACCTGCCCGCTGGCCCGCCAGTGTGGCCGTACACGAGTTCTCGGCGAGCCCGCTGAGCCAGTTCTACTCGCCCGTGCCGAGCTACTTCCAAGGGGGCAGCGAGGATGTCAAGATTGCGTACATTTACCGGGGCAACTCCAAGTTTGGCGCCATCACGATCCTGCCTCCGTCCGCATCCACCGACGGCGGTGACGCAGCCGCGGGGTCACACAGCCGGCTGCAGTACCGTCTGTTTGTGAACGGCAAAGAGGCATGGAACACCATCCTCGAGACACCCGAGGCGCTCGAGGGGTCCAAGTCACGGCCCAAGTCGTTCTGGAGCAAGCTTTTGGGATAGAGGCTGAGGTTGAGGATCGTTGAAGCAGAGGCGTTCTCGTTGTCGTTGGATAGTTCTTATGAGAGTCTTGCGGTTGGGGTCTTGTTTTGGATATGCCCTTTTGGTTTTCTTGTCATAACAGGTTTAATTTTCGGTTGTCGTGCTTTGGACGGCCGTGCTAGTCTACATTCGTCGTTGCTCCTCTTTCTATGTTTCATATTACAACTTGCAGCAACATTTATTATGTCTACCGTCTCGATCGCATTCATGGAATATCTGCATGTGGGCAAGGCTTAGGAACAGACTTTCGGGCGGCAATACAAGC